TATTTATTTATTTATTTATTTTTAGACAGAGTCTGACTTTGTCACCTGGAGCTAGAGTGCAGTGGCATCATCATAGCTCACAGCAACCTCAAACTCCTGGCCTCAAGTGATTCTCCTGCCTCAGCCTCCCGAGTAGCTGGGACTACAGATGTGCACCAACATGCCTGGCTAATTTTTTAAAGTTTTTATAGAGATAGGGTCTCATTCTTGCTCAGGATGGTCTCCAACTCCTGGCCTCAAGCTGTCCTCACTCCTCGGCCTCCCAGAGTGCTAGAATTACAACTGTGAGCCACTGCACCTGGCCGAAACATATTTTGTTTTTGTTTTTGTGATTTTGAGACAGAGTCTCACTCTGTTGCCCGGGCTAGAGTGCCGTGGCATCAGCCTAGCTCACAGCAACCTCAAACTCCTGGGCTCAAGCAGTCCTTCTGCCTTAACCTCCCAAGCAGCTGGGACTACAGGCATGTGCCACCATGCCTGGCTAATTTTTCCTATATATTTTCAGTTGGCCAATTCATTTCTTTCTATTTTTAGCAGAGACGGGGTCTCGCTCTTGCTCAGGCTGGTTTCGAACTCCTGACCTAGAGCGATCCGCCCTCCTCGGCCTCTCAGAGTGCTAGGATTACAGGCGTGAGCCACCGCTCCTGGCCAAAACATGGTTTTATACACTGGCTATTAGGCAGCACCAGACGGTGACTCCTAAAAGGGGGAAGAAAAGTAGATGAGTCCCATAATCGCCCCAGTTCACAGTTAAGAGCATTCCCAGGCCATAGCTCAGGGAGGGGGAACTCAGATGGAGTCTGAAGATCTCCTGAGTTGAGCCGATACAGGCAGGCAGTAGGTGAAAATGGCTAAAGTTCACAGGGCAGAGTACTAGAGAGCGCAGGCACTGCACAGAGAGAAAACGATGGAGATCTGCGGAGTGTCTCCCTCAAGTCTTCAGCTGGTAACTGATGTGTGTGAGAAAACTACCCAAGTCCTAAGAAAGAACCGCTTGAAAGGATTAGGGAAAATACTACTTGGAGTTCACACAGGGTAGAAAATAGTTTGTGTTCCCACCTGCAAGAGTGTAAAAATCCTTATAATTTATGACACATCAAGAGAAGGACTCAGAAAGTTACTGCCGTAGTATAGGGCAAAATGAGTCCTTGACTAAAGATTTACAGAGCTTAAAAGCAAGCCTCAAAAGATTCAAACGGTTTATAAGTAACTGAGTTTTGTCCCAGACTAAGCTCAAAAATATCTATAGGGATACAAAAATATCCCAGCACCTGATGATGTAAAATTAACATTGTCTGGCAGCCAATCAAAAATGACCAGGCATGGCTGGCCAGGGTGCCTACACCTATAATCCTAGTGCTTTGGGAGGCCAAGTTGGGAAGACAGGGAGGGAGGATCGCATGAGGCCAGAAGTTCGAGACCAGCCTTGGCAACATAGTGAGACCCCATCTCTCCACACACACATACGCACAATTGGCCTGGCTTGGTGGCTAACTCAGTCCCAGCTACTCAGGAGGCTGAGACAGGAGGATCGCTTGAGCCCAGGAATTCAAGGTTATAGAGAGCTATGATCATGCCACTGCACTCTAGCCTGGGTAACAGAGTGAGACCCTGTCTCTTAAAAAAAAAAAAAAAAAAAGACCAGGCATGGAAAGAAATAGGAAAGTACCACCCTTAATGAAGAAAAAAAAAAAAATCAATCAACAGAAATAGATCCAGAAATAACACAGATGATAGAATCAGTAGAGAAAAACATTAAAAACTTGCCACTATCACTATTTTGCATAAGTTCAAGGTAGAAAGATTAAACATATTAAATTAATGACATGAAATATTTTTTAAAGGCCCAAATTGAACTTCTAGAGATGAAAACAAAAATGTTTTAAAATAAAAATACACTGGATGGGATTAACAGCAGATTAGTCACTGCAGAAGAAGAGGTTAATGAACCTGAAGACATAGGAATAGAAACTATCCTAAATGAAAGCCAGAGAGATAAAAAGACAAAAACAAAACAAAACCCAGCATCAGTGAGCTGTGGGACGCTTCAAGTAGCCTGATAATATACATGAAATTGTGGTCCCTGAAGAAGGAGGAAGGGCAAAAAGTATTTGAAAAAAATTAATGGTTGAAATTTTTTAAATTGAGGGAGAACTGTAAACCTGTAGATTCTAGAAGCTTAATTAACCCCAAGCACAAGAAGCAGGAAGAAAACTATACCAAAGCATATCATAATTAAATTGCTTAAAACCTAGTGGTAAAGAGAAAAAATATTTTAAAGCATCCAGAGGAAAAAAAGACATTATGAAAAAAAGAAAGATAAGAATGACAGCAGACTTCTCTTTGAAAATAATGCAAATCAGAAGCAGTGTAGCCATATCTACAAAAAACTAAAAGTTAAAAAAAAACAACAACACTGTCAATCTTCAACAATATGCCCAATGAAAATATATTTCAAAAGTGAAGGCAAAATACTTTTTTAAAGATATACAAAAGCTGAAAGAATCCTTATCAGTAGGCCTGCCCTACAAAAAATAATAAAGGAAATCCTTCAGGAGGAGGGAAATGATACCAGATGGAAATCTGGATTTACTTAAAGGAATGAAGAACACTGAAAATAGTAAATATGTGGGTTAAAAAAAAAGTGACTGCAGCTCTCACTATACTTTTAATAGGTCAGTCAGAGAAAACAGGATTCTGAAGACTGCAATTGTTCCATAGTTCATGGCTGCTTAAATAAAGTCTAAACAATCCCTTTGCTAACTTCAGCACCTTGTAGATGTAAATTTGTTTGTAAATTATTGGGAAATTATGATTCATATTATACTAAATCAATACAAATAAAGCAAATGTCAGTAATTTTTCATACTTTGGTAAGATAACCTGTTGTATTGTGTGGACTCTTGGTGGTCTTTTACATTTTCAGCTTGTAAGTCATCATCTTTGCTAGACTGTTTTTGGAAGAAGAAGAAGAAGAGAAACAGAAAAGGGAGGAAACAAACATTTGTAATAGTGATTTCAGTTTGTGAAGTATTTGAAATCCTGTTTCGTGACTCTCAAAGGTCAAGCTTAATTTTCTTCCACTGCCACTGGCTTAGAACATCTTAAATAGGCCAAATTGATTTGCTCAGCTAGGTTTCCCGAAATATCCATTCTTGAAACCAGTATGTTTCTTATTATGAGAGCTTAGATTTTTCTCCCTCTGTGTGAAAAAATATTGAAATAGTCTGTCGTCTTCCTTCATATCTCTGCCTGGGAGGCCTTTGAAGTCTTTCTGTGACCTTAATGAAAGCCAGACTGTTTTTAAGATGCAGTATTCCTTTTGGACACTGATGTAGATGACCCTTGAGGCCACTGGGCTGCTTTAAAATGTTCTGAGTATTTGGCATCTGGGGGATGCTTAATGAGAGTGAGCCTGACTCAAGGTTCTTGTGTTTCACAGATCACTCCGTCTCCTCCTTCTCCTTGTTTTATTTGATATATTTTTTAATAGGTTTTACATGCATGTGACCAAAAATTGAAAAGGTATGAAAGGACATATGAATGAAGAGTGCATTCTCCTCTGTTCCCCAGCCACCCAGAAGTGACTAGTGTTACAGTCATTTACGCACTTAAAATTTTGACAGATAGTGCTAAACTGACCCCTCCAAAGGTCATATGAGCCTATACTCTGTGGGTGTATAAGAGTCCCTATTTTCCCACTCCCTCACCAGCTTAGTCCTTAATCAGACTTTTTTATCCTTGCCATTCTGACAGGATAGTATCTCATTTTAATTTATATTTTTCTTATTATAAATGAGGTTGATTATTTTATATATTTAGGAGCTACTTGTCTTTTCCTTTTTTATGAATTTTTGTTACTCTTTTTAGTTTTGTTTTTTAGAGACAGGGTCTCGCTCTGTTGCCCAGGCCAGAGTGCAAATGATGTCATCACAGCTCACAGCAACCTCAAACTCCTAGGCTCAAGCAATCTTCCTGCCTCAGCCTCTAGCCTCTCCAGTAGCTGGGACTACAGGCTCGGGCCCCCACACCCAGCTAATTTTTCTTTCTTTTTTCTTTTTTTTTCTGAGACAGGTTCTTGCTCTGTCGCCAAGGCTAAAGTGCAGTAGTGTCATCCATAGTTCACTGTAACCTCTAATTCCTGGACTCGAGCTATCCGCCTGCCTCAGCCTCTCGAGTAGCTGGGACTACAAGGTGCATGCCACCATGCCTCCTGGCTAATTTTTCTATTTTTTGTAGAGATAGGATCTTGCTTTTGCTCAGGCTAGTCTCGAACTCCTGACCTCAAGTGATCCTCCCAAAGTGCTAGGATTATAGGCATGGGACACTGCACCCAGCCCTTTTTGATGAATTGATTATTCCTACCTTTTGATATTCCACAAGGCTTCTGATTAACTTTTTTTTTATTTATAGGAGCTCTTCATGTTTTAGGGGAAAAAAATCCCTCTGTGATATGAGTTGGAAGTATTTTTTCCAGTTATTTTTTGTTTGTACTTTTTTTAGTCTTTGACTTTGTTTAAGATATGTTTTTTATCATGCAGATTCTTTTTTTTTAATAATTTTATTTAATTACAATTACTATCTCCTCTCTTTTTTTATTTTTTTTCTTCTTTTTCTTTTTTTTTTAACTAGGAAGTTAAAGGTCTATTTTCAAAATTCTATTTTTAGCAATAGAGTCTTGCTGTGTCATCCAGGCTGGTCTCAAACTCCTAGCCTCAAGCAATCCTCCCACCTCAGCCTCCTAAAGTGCTAGGATTACAGGCATGAGCCACTGCACCTAGCCTATCATGCAGAATACTAAAATTTTATGTTGTTGAATTTGCCAATCTTTCCTTTTATGACTTCTGTGTCTTATGACATACTTAGACTTTCCCCACTCCAAGATAATTTAAAAAAGAATTTTCCCATATGTTATTCTAGTACTTTAAGGTTCTTTACTCTTAGATCCATCTGGAATTTAGTTTTGTGTAGGATGTGAGGTATGGATCCACCTTCTTTTCTCCTTACGGTTAATATCTTTTCCTCGCTGATGAAATGTTACTTTTATACCGTGTCCTCTTTCTTGATTAAACACTGTTATTCAAGGTATTTGTTGATACAGTTAGGAACAACTTTAAATGTTAGCTTTAGAGTAGTAGTCAGGTGTCCAGGGCAGTGATTTCTGGACTCTTGGGGTACCTAAGACTTTGTAAGAGCTATAGCTCCCTTCCCTCCATGACAAATGCTCTCGTCCAGAGCTGCTATTACTGAAGGTCACGTGTCTTAGTCATGTGTGTTGGGCCAAGAAATAATTTCTAACTGCTCATCTGGGAATTTCCCCTCACGGGGGGGACTCATCTTTCACACAGACACATAAAATTCACCTGGTGCCAGCTACCCATCTAGTGACTCCCAGCTCATTACTTGAATGAGAAAAGAAACTCAACAAGAGCCCGGAAGTAAAGAGAGGATCTTCCCAAAGAAAACTGAACTCTTACGCTTTTGAGTCATTAGTGTCTGATCTGCAGGTTGTCCTCCCATTATAGAATCGTAGTCAGTTTTTACAGTTTTACTTCAGTAAATTTATTTGGTGGACTGTATGTCATCTCGGGGGAAGGAAACCCCGTATTAGGCTATATTGTGACTGCATTTTGGCACTATTTAAAGCTTGGGGTACAGGGATAAGGATCACCTCTTTAAATTGAAACTTTGTAAAGTCAGAAAAGAGTGTGGCCTTTTAAAAAGTAGAATTCTCAGGGTGCCCTTTTTTTTCAGGATAACCTTGGCTGTAAAGACTAATAGAGTTGTACATACGGGGAGCTGGAGGAGCCTGTCTGGTGGGGGGCCTGATGCCGCTGATAGGGGGTGCTTGTCCCCAAGGAGCCTTCTCTCACGTCAGGTGTGTGACCAGCCTGTTTTGTTTGGTAGAGGGGATATACAATGGCTTTTAATTTCATTCAATATTATAAAATTGCTCTTTGGTTTGGGCTACTCAAGGAACAGTCTGTCACTTTGAACTTTGGGGTAGCAAATGCTCTCTGTGCTTGAAAGTGCTGGTGGCAGTGACACCTGTCTAGAGCTTGTTTATTAGCCCGTAGGGCATCTCATCAAGTAGAGGAACTAGGTAAGAGTGTAAGGGAGGGAGGGAAGCCAGGAGAGCTGTGAAAATGGCTTTTCTTTGGTGTAGACTATTTTTCACTTACATTTTTATGAATTAGTTGTTCTTAAGACTGTTAAACACTTTTAAAAAGTAAATTGAAAAAGATACAGTTTAAGTGGTCATATTGAAGTAAAGAAATAATATCCACTTTATAGGCTTAATGATACATCATAATTAGCTAATTTATTCCATGTGATTGTGATGTCTGGGAGACAAGCCCGGTATGATGATGAGCTGCTGTTAATGTGATTCTATCCTACTAAGTATCATCAGGATTTAAGGGAAGACCTTCCCAGAGATTCTTGTATATCTATTTGACGATAGCTTTCCTGTTTTTCCCTTCCTGTCCCATTTTTTACTCCTCCAAAGTCATGTTATGCTGGTACAGCCATGCCAGTGTGCCCTTGAGTAACTCCAAGTCTGAATCCTAAAAAGCAGCTTTCACTTAGCCAGCTGCCTTTGTCAGTTTCAGCCTTGGATGTCACCTCTTGGTAAGCTTTTCCCACTCTTCCTTCCTCCTTCCCCACCCATCATCTCTTCTCTCCACTGAGTTCTACTCCAATGGATGGTAATCTCCCAGATCACCCAGCAGCTGAACGAATTCACCCACCAAGGGGAAGCCCCACACTGGGGTTACTTACCCCTTCCAGACTCTTCCTGAGGAAAGCAAGTGACCTTCCATGTGGCAGAAGTAAATGTATCTTAGTTTGGCCTTGTGTGACTTATAGAAGGGGAAGTTTCGGGGAACTGGAGAGAAGATGCATTTTTAACAGAGGAAAAACATTTAGCAGAGACTGTCCCTTCTGCCTTCTTCGGGTGTGTCCCTCTTCTGGGCATCTCGTCAGGATTTCATTCCTCCCTCCAACTGCCGTTCACAACTGCCCTTTCCAACTGCTCCAGAACTCTTGGCCCTGGCATTCCGTGATGTAAATTATTCCACGCATGGCTCGAAATGGGTGTGAAGCAGTGTTGCCAGGTGTCGGATCACTAGTGTAAGTTTACCGGATCTCGGGGGAAAACTGCTCTTGGAATTTGTGCAGTTGTTATTGTTTCAGCCAACGCACAGTTGTTTTTCTGGCTAAGCTTGACGTTGTCGCTGGCTGGGGAGACAGCAGCAGGGCCTGGAGTTGGGGTGAACTTTTGGTTGAGATTTTCTATTTTAAAGATTCTAGTGTTAGGATATAGATTGTTTGGAATTGAACACTGGCAGTGCTACTGCAAAGAGGAGGACCCAGGGCCTGCGGGCCAGAGCCTGTAGCAGCACTGCCTTGGGGTGAGGGTGCCCCTCTTCTGTCTCAAAATGCAGGGAGAACCCACGTTTCTGTCTTCCTAGAGATAGCCAGAATATGGCAAGAAATCAAGATTGATCACCATGTTTAGAAACATAGGGTAGAAAAATTAAAAGACTTCTATATCTATGAGACGTTTTCTTTTCTTTTCTTTCTTTCTTTTTTTTTTTGAGACAGTCTCACTCTGTTGCCTGGACTAGAGTGCCATTGTGTCAGCCTAGCTCACAGCAACCTCAAACTCCTGGGCTCAAGCGATCCTCCTGCCTCAGCTTCCCGAGTAGCTGGGACTACAGGCATGTGCTACCATGCCTGGCTAATTTTTTCTATATATTTTTAGTTGGCCAATTAATTTCTTTCTATTTATAGTAGAGACAGGGTCTCACTCTTGCTCTTGCTCAGGCTGGTTTCAAACTCCTGATCTTAAGCGATCCACCCGAGTTGGCCTCCCAGAGTGTTAGGATTACAGGCATGAGCCACCATACTGGCCTATGAAACCTTTTCTAAAACAAAAATGTTATTTTCCCTTTATGCATTCTATATTTTGAGGAAGTTACTGTTCATGGTTATAGCCCCTTGGGGGAGTCTGCATGTGAAGGTGGTTGCTGCCAACTATCTTTGATTTGTCTAGATTCTTTTTTGACTTGTAAGTTAAGGATTTATTTTCAATAAAAAGTTTCAATTAATTACTTTATCTCTCAAATGACCACAAAATTTAAAAAATCACATGAATAATAAGCAATTAGAGGAGAAGCTCACATGAATTACACAGTTATGTATCCAGATAAGTGTAAGGTATGTTTTTATGTTGCATTGATGCTACTGGCTTTAATCTGCCTTGCTAAAAATGCTCTCCTCTTCATTTTTTCTAGTTGTCATGGATGATGATGATGACTCGTGTCTCCTTGATCTTATTGGGTAAGATGCTCATTCCCAAACTAGAGTAGATCAAATGTGTAAGGTTTGCTGAACTAAAATAATCTCATAGCATTATTAAAACCTGGTAGGTTTTTAAAGTAAAAATTAAATAATCGTCATAGATATAGTAGGGAGACAAAGCGGCATGGATTAACATAAAGGTCATAATTCAGTAATCCTTTATTAAATTTGCTCTCTAATAAACCCCAGGAGACAGAAATGAGTGATAATAGGAAATGGGACATTAAAACAAAAACAAAATAGAAACAAAAAACTGCTAATAAAATTGTTTTAAAATAGGGAGAGTATTTCACTCAGGTTAATATTTTCTTTTCTTTTTATTGTAGTAAAAATTATTCCTAAGTATAGGTAATGTATTTGTTTGTCATTTTCCCTGTTTTTTTTTTTTCTTTTCTAGAGACCCACAAGCATTGAACTATTTTCTGCATGGACCTAGTAATAAATCTGTAAGTAATAGTTAGAATATCACAGACATAAATTTTGTTTCTTCTTTATAGTTAAAGTAACCACTTTCTCCAATTTGTACCTTTACAGAACAATGATGACCTGACTAATGCAGGATATTCTGCAGCCAATTCAAATTCAATTTTCGCCAACTCTAGTGTGAGTATTGAAAATGAATGCAATGATCGAGTGGTTTCTGTCTTGTTGATGCCTTCCGAACTAAGGCTTTAATTGCTTTTGTATCATGATAAGAATCCTTATTTTGTATTTTGTAATTTACATGGGAGGGAAATCTGTTGAATTATGTAGACATTTTCTACTTTTAACTTAGGACAAGCTGTGTAAGAGTTATTTTGCCATTTTTCTAAGCTTTCAACATTCTAAAGTGACTCAGAAATGTTGCAACCTGAGAAAGTCCTATTAGGAAGTTTTGAACCTTATAAGCTTTAAAGAAATCATTCTCTCTTTTTGTGCTCCTTAAAAAAAATCATTCTTAATCACAATAACTTACAAATAATTTTCATCTTAAACAAGGAAAAAAAAGATAACTGACACTTGTTGAGCATTTTATATGTGCTTAGCACTAAGGGCTTAACATATATTAACCTCATTTAATCTTCACAATAATTCCATGAAGTGGTTCTGTTATTATCCATGTTTTCTAGGTGAGGAAGCTAAAGCACAGAGAGTCACTCTGCCCAAGTTTGAATCTTTGCTCTGCCACTTATTAGCTGCGTAACCTTAGATGAAAGGCAAAATCTCTGTGAGGTTCAAGTTCCTCATTTATGAAACCAGAATAACAATTGAACTACCTCACAGAGTGGTTAAGATTAATTTGCCAGTCCATGGAAATCACTTGGTACAGTACTCAATAAATATTAACTTGCCATCATCATCAGGGGCTTTATTTTCTTTATCTGTAAAATGGAGTGGTGTTCAGAAAGTCCTTGCAAATACACGATTCTTTTAAGTATTTGCATGTGTGTGAGATATGTCAGATCATGTCATGCAAGACACCTGCACATGTTAGAGAGGCTTTAAGTCACAACACTGGTTTCCTGTAAGGCTTGTGAGTCAGTAGCATTTCTGCATTCATTTTGAATGAATAATCATTGCGTGTGACGCCATTAAGCCCATAAAGTAGATATTTAGCCTTTCTTTCAACATTAATGATTTTTATTTACCAACTCTCCTTCTTCCATGTGAATGTTAATTCTAACTTTTCAGACTGCTTCATTCAGTATGTATTTATTAGGAACTTTTATCACATCGTGTCAGGTGTAGTAAAAATATTAAAAGTGCTCTGAAAATTACAGGTGTCTGTTTAAACGTGTCTGTTCATTTGTGCACTGTAAAAACATTAAACTGTCTATCACCACTTGGGAGATATTTGTTGTTGCCTTGATATTTCTGTGCCATATTTGCTTTCAGTTACTTTCTTCACTTTCTTTCAAGTGATTCTTCAAGTCCTAAGACGACATCCACCTGACTCGGACCATTTCGACCGTTGACTGGGTGTCAGGTGAACTAGTCTTGGCTTTTGTCTCTAGTTCTTCCTGTCATCCAGTCCCAGTACCTTGTTGGCATAGGGCTGATAATTTCTACAGTATTGCAAGTTGGAGTACTCATTCTTTTTTTTTTTTTCTATGTATTTTTAGTTGGTCAATTAATTTCTTTCTATTTTTAGTAGAGACGGTGTCTTGCTCTCGCTCAGGCTGGTCTCACACTCCTGAGCTCAAACCATCCGGCTACCTCGGCCTCCCAGAGAGCTAGGATTATAGGCATGAACCACTGCACCCAGCTTGAGTACTCATTCTTGATGAAACTAGTTTTAGTTTTTTTCTTCACCTTTTTTTCTTTTTTAATGGTGGTAAAATACACATAGCAAAATTTATCATCTTAACTGTTTTTCAGTGTACAGTTCAGTAGTGTTAAGTACATTCACATTGTGTTCACCTTATTTTAAATGGCTGTTGATTCCATATCATTTTCTTTTATAGTTTTGACACGTCCCATAAAAGACTGTGGGCCAGTGGAGTGTATTTTATTTATCATTGACTGTGTTCAGTCCTCTTCATATGCCTGTGTTGTTGTCTCTTGTTGGAATGCTTACTGCATAAGGACAGAAACTGATATATTAAGTGGGTATTTGATAAATGTTGTTTGACTTTTACTTTTGAATAGGACACCACTTGCTTTTTTTTAAGGCATTTTTACTTAAAGATATGTTGTTATATAGTTAAGTAGTTTTTAAGGCTTTTTTTTTTTTAATAGAGACGGGGTCTCGCTTTGTTACCCAGGCTGGAGTGCAGTGGTACAATTATAACTTACTACAACCTCAAACTCCTGGGCTCAACCTATCCTCCTGCCTCATCCTCCCAAGTAGCTGGGACTATAGACACACACCACCATGCCCAGCTAATTTTTTACAAAATTTTTTGTAGAGACAGGGTCTCACTAAGTTGCCCAGGCTGGTCTTAAACTCCTGGCCTTAAGCAGTCCTCAGGCCTCCTGAAGTGCTGGGCTTATAGGCATGAGCCACTGCACCTGGCCATAAGGCATCTTAATAAGCTAATTACTTCTAAGAAATCAAATGACCATTCCCTCATTTTATGTTGGAACCTTGTTTTTATCTGGACTAGTCTTGCCTGGGGTGGTGGGGAATAGAGACCTTCTAGTCACCCAGGACCCCAAAACCCACTTAGACTTTGGAGGTACAAAGAAGTAGACATAGCTGTCTCCTGGATACACACACACTTTGGGCTGAGTCCCACTCAAGCCTTGGACTGTGAGTAGTCTTAAAAAATAAAGTCTGTGCCAGTATTTCAAAAAAATGAAGCTAAGAAAAAATGAAGCTAAGCTCTAGGTAGTCCTCAGTATGTTTGTGTTATTTATCTGTTCTCTATAAAATAATTCACCCAGAGCAATGAATGCGCATACTTACGAACATAACATTAAGCATCTTTACTAAGGAAATAAAATATCAGAATAAAATGAACAGTTTAGAGAGTTGTGCCTGGAAAGCAAATTGTTATGCTTAATTCATGTTCAAAAGTGGGCTTTTTTTAATGCATCTTTTTCAAAGATCGGATATGCCATGTAACACACTGCTTATTTTTTTAGAATGCTGATCCTAAGTCATCCCTCAAAGGTGTGAGCAACCAGCTTGGAGAAGGGCCCAGTGATGGACTGCCACTTTCAAGTAGCCTTCAGTTTCTTGAAGATGAACTTGAATCTTCTCCTCTTCCTGATCTCAGTGAGGACCAACCTTTCGACATTCTTCAGAAATCCTTGCAGGAGGCCAATATCACTGAACAGACATTGGCAGAAGAGGCATATTTGGATGCCAGTATAGGTTCAAGCCAACAGTTTGCACAAGCTCAGCTTCATCCTTCTTCATCAGCATCCTTTACTCAGGCTTCTAATGTTTCTAATTACTCAGGTCAGACGCTGCAGCCTATAGGGGTGACGCACGTGCCTGTTGGAGCATCATTTGCGAGCAATACAGTGGGTGTGCAACATGGCTTTATGCAACACGTGGGGATCAGCGTTCCCAGCCAGCATTTGTCTAACAGCAGTCAGATTAGTGGTTCTGGTCAAATACAGTTAATCGGGTCATTTGGTAATCACCCTTCCATGATGACTATTAATAACCTAGATGGATCCCAAATCATACTGAAGGGCAGTGGACAGCAAGCTCCATCGAATGTGAGTGGAGGGCTTCTGGTTCATAGACAAACTCCTAATGGCAACTCCTTGTTTGGGAACTCCAGTTCTAGTCCAGTAGCGCAGCCTGTTACTGTTCCATTTAACAGCACAAATTTTCAAACGTCTTTACCTGTGCATAACATCATCATACAAAGGGGTCTCGCACCAAACTCGAACAAAGTCCCAATTAATATACAGCCAAAGCCTATCCAGATGGGTCAGCAAAATACATACAATGTGAACAATTTGGGAATTCAGCAACACCATGTCCAACAGGGGATCTCTTTTGCTTCTGCAAGCTCACCCCAGGGCTCAGTAGTTGGTCCACACATGTCTGTGAACATTGTAAACCAACAGAACACAAGAAAGCCAGTCACCTCACAAGCAGTGAGCAGTGCTGGGGGCAGTATTGTTATTCATTCCCCCATGGGCCAGCCTCACGCGCCCCAAAGTCAGTTCCTCATACCTACAAGCCTTTCCGTCAGTTCCAACTCGGTACACCATGTGCAAACCATAAATGGGCAACTTCTTCAGACTCAATCCTCTCAGCTCATTTCTGGCCAGGTGGCCTCAGAGCATGTCATGTTGAACAGGAATTCTTCCAACATGCTCAGGACCAACCAACCATATTCTGGACAGATGCTCAACAACCAGAATACCGCCGTCCAGTTAGTGTCTGGGCAGACGTTTGCTGCCTCTGGAAGTCCAGTGATAGTCAATCATGCCTCTCCTCAGATTGTTGGTGGACAGATGCCCTTGCAGCAGGCATCACCAACTGTATTACACCTGTCACCCGGGCAGAGCAGCGTTTCCCAAGGAAGACCTGGCTTCACCGCCATGCCCTCGGTGACAAGCATGTCAGGACCTAGTCGGTTCCCTGCTGTCAGTTCAGCCAGCACTGCCCATCCTAGTCTTGGGTCTGTAGTTCAGTCTGGTGCATCAGGATCAAACTTTACGGGAGATCAGCTGACCCAGCCAAACAGGACTCCAGTCCCGGTCAGCGTGTCTCATCGTCTTCCAGTTTCTTCTTCCAAATCTACCAGCACCTTCAGCAACACACCTGGAGCAGGAACCCAGCAACAATTCTTCTGTCAGGTAATGCCCCTTTTCAAATAAGTGTTCGGTGGATTGCAGAATGGAAAAATGCAATGTGTATTTACTAGAATATAATTTTCATACTAGGCTCCCAATTTATTAACTTAAAAATTTCAACTTATGACTGTCTTTTTTATTCTTAATTAAAATGTTTTATTCAGCATATCATTATAGTTTAGAGTGGATACTCTGAATCAGACTCTTGGGTTTGAATCTAAGCTTTTCATGTCATCATGGAGCAAGTTAACTTATCTCCCTAGACTTAATTTTCTTTATCAGTGAAATGAAGGTAATGATACTGCCATCCCATGGAGTTATCAGGAAGATTAAATGAGGCAATCCACATGAAGCACTTAGCATAATCTCTGGCAAATAGCAAATACTCAATAGTAGCCAATATTTTGTTTTTATATATACACAGACACACACATACACACATACAGACAATGAAATGTATTGTGAGCATTTAAAATAAAAGCTTATTTTAGAGTATTTACTTACATTTATAGCAAGGCACTAGGTTCTATGATGATGGGTGAAGATGTTATGGCTGCTTCTTGGCTACCAATCAGAAGGGCTCAGGGGCTCAGTGTGACTCAGCAGTGGGTAACTGGCTCATGCCAGCATGTAGGGGAGAGACTCAGAGCACTCACTCTCTTTTGACCAAGTGCCTGAGCCTGTTCTTACCATGCTGGTGGGCAAATAAATTACTGTGGACAATTGGTTAAAACCACATAAGGATTATGTTTCTGAAATAGTCTCAAGTGGTCATGAGCTTTAGGTCATCTACTGATCCTCAGTGACTCTAGCTTTCGGTTCCCATGCATCCTGGGCATGCTCCATAGTTGGAGCTTCTCTCCTTCCTGGCTGGGAGGCAGATAGTGCATGTATAGACTCATCCCTGCAACACATGTTTTCACTTAATTATATAACTTGAGGATCATTTTATATTTGTAGGTATTGATCTGCTTTATTTTAATTATTTATGCATAATCAGCCACAGCATGGTCATTTCCCTTTTTTTTTAAATTTGTTTTGTTTTTTGCTGTATAGTAAAAATAAATTTAAAAACATTAGCCAGGTATGGTGGCACATGCCTGTAATCCCAGCTACTTGGTAGGCTGGGGCAGAAGGACTGCTTGAGCCCAGGAGGTCAAGGTTACAGTGAGCTATGATTATGCTACTGCAGCCTAGCCTGGATGACATAGCAAGACCTATCTCTTTTTTTTTTGAGGCTAATGCAGAGGGATAGCAAGACCTATCTCTTAAAAAAAAAAAAAAAAAAAAGGCAACAAGAAGCCTACAGTAGCAGTTGCTTAGTAGGTTTTTGTGACTTTTTATGACAAAAAGTGCTGGGAACTAGGTCAGTTGCATTACATCAAGTATGTGCTGCTGTAAGTTTTCAGGAATAAGTGAAATAGCATGTTTATTAGAATGAGAGGACATAGCCTTAGATGCAGCATGAGTTAGAAGAGTAGTATTTAGGTCATCTACCATTTAAATCCCCAAGACATCCAGAAACACTTATAGCAACTCTTTTACTTTCTGTAAAATTTCTGTATAAATTACTTTGTAGAATGTTGTAATGAACAAAAATACCATAATCAAAGGCCTGCAGTGTTTTTATATTTGAGGAAATTTAATTCAGTAAGTTTTGATACTATAAATGGTTAATATTAGAGAAGACTATTTTATATATTATTTGTTTTAATATAGATGATGCATTAACTTGGTTCAAAAACATCAAATGGTACAGAAAGATGTATACTGCAGTGAAGAGTTTCCCTCCTCCTCCCATCCCCCAGCCACCCCATTACTGGCAGGCAGCCAGTAAAACCAGCTTTTTATGGTGTCAACTTAAGTTCCCACCTCACCTTTTGGGTTTTTTTGTTTTTGTGTTTTTTTGAGACAGAGTCTCGCTCTGTTGCCCGGGCTAGAGAGCTATGGCATCAGCCGAGCTCACAGCAACCCCAAAATCCTGGGCTTGAGCAATCCTCCCAAATAGCTGGGACTACACGCTCTTGCCACCACGCCCAGCTAATTTTGTTTGTTTCTTTGTTTCTATTTTTTAGTAGAGATGGGGTCTTGTTCTTGCCCAGGCTGGTCTCCAACTCCTGACTTCAAGTGATCCTCCTGCCTTGGCCTCCCAGAGTGTTAGGATTACTGGCATGAGCCAACGCACCTGGCCACCCCAAACCCCACCTTTTGTATTGGGAAAACCTTCAAACCCACAGAAAAGCTGGGAGAATACAGTGAACCCATTCACCTAGTATCACTAGTTTATGTTTTACAACATTTGCTTTATCTGTTTGAAATGTCTGTGTGTCTTTCTCTATGTATGCATACACATGTGTTTATACACATACATTTTTTTCTCTGAACCATTTGAAAGTACTTTGCAAACATCATGACTCTTTGCTCGGAAGTAGAAAAAGGACCTTCTTCCTCTTCTGTACAACCACACTATCACTATCATCCCTAAGAAACTTAACAGTAATACAATAAAATTATATCAAATTTCCTCCAGTTGACCCAATAATGTCCTTTACAACAGTTTTTCACTCAAGAATCCGGAGAGCACTGATTTCATTTCATTGTCATAGCTCTTTAGTCTATAACAGCCCTGATCGATTGTCTTCCAGAGTGGCCCTCAACATGGAGTTGTCTGATTGTTTCTTCATGATTCAGCCTCATCAGCTAAATGGTTTGGGCAAGACACATAATGTCAGTTTTTCCCATTAGTAGTGATGCCAAGTATGAGCACTTGGTTAAGGTCACCTCTGCTAGGTTTCTTCTGAAGATACTCAAAGGTACCTTTGTTCCCTCTGTAAGGAAGGAACAGAGCCAGGTGCAGTGGCTCATGCCTATAGTCCTAGCTACTTGGGAGGCTGAGGCAGAAAGATCACTTGAGGCCAGGAGTTTGAGGCTGCAGTGAGCTATAATTATGCCACTACACTCCAGCCTGGGCCACAGAGTGAGATCTTATCTCTAAAAAAAAGAAAAAAGAAAAGAAGAAGAAGAAATGATCTCTGTCTCTAGGATGTTGCTTTAAGGCCATGTGCCTGTCCCCTTTCTCAGCCTCTCACCCAGTGATGTGAGACTCCTATGATGACTCCCACCTGAATATTATATTGACAGTTGCAAAATGATCTTCTAATTTTATTTCCTATCTACACTTATTGCCTCAGATTTTTCCATAAAGAACTTTTTCTTCTTCTTCTTCCCATTTTTTTTAAAACATTATCAACTCCTAGGTTTTTTTGCTGTTGTTTTTAGAATTTTTTTTTGATTCATTTTTTAAATCTTTTTATTAGGAGAAATTTTAAACACAAACAAAAGTAGACAAAGCAGTGTAATAATGAGCCCACTTACTCAGCCTCAACACTTGCCGGCTGGTTCACAGCTACTCTTGTTTCATCCATGCCCCACCTGCTCTCCCTCTGCCTGATATTATTTGGAAGTCATCTAGACATCAGTTCATCTGCAGCATGTTAATGTATATCTCTAAAAGATCATGTAGTTTTGTATTTAATGTGTTACAATCTTTTGCTTTCCTTATTCTGTTGTTTTGGAGACAGGATAGAATGCAGTGGCCTCATCATGGCTCACTGCAACATCAAACTGCTGGGCTCAAACAATCCTTCTGCCTCAGCCTCCCAAGTAGCTGGGACTACAGGTGTGTGCCACTACACCTGGCTAATTTTTCTATTTTTTATAGAGACAGGGTCTCACTCTTGCTCAGGCTGGTCTTGAACTCCTAAGCTCAAGCTATCTACTCCTGCCTCGACCTCCCAGAGTGCTAGGATTATAGGCATCAGCCACCATGCCCAGCCTGCTTTCTTCATTCTTTTTGATGCTTAAATTGTCCCAAATTTGGTCAGTGGAGGCCTGTTTAAGCTGGTTTCTGTACTTTTGACATGTGTTCATCTCCTCTGAGCACTTCCTTGCTTTGTGGCACAAAGTATTATAGGCTTGCCTTGAGATTACCTTGCCTCACACCTCAAATCAGCCACTCTCCAAGAAGCTCCAAGAAGTTAAGTCTCTTAATGCAGAGAGTAATTTATAGGATTTATACTTTCTTGTAAATGGATTAAAATTCAAAAGTCAGTGATTAAAGGTGATTTGTAAGCATTTAGCCTATCAAACAAAAGTAAACAAATTATTATAGGTCCAAATCTCTTTAGATCACCAAAAGAATTAGTGAATTTAAATTTCTATGAGAGCAGCTGAGCCCATATGCCTGTAACACCTACCATATTTTGGGTGGGAGTGCATAAATGATTACACTGAATTTTTTTCCTGATTCCAGCACCACTCTCCCCTCCATAGCTCTGTCCCTATTTTCTGCTTTAGCTCAACCTGCCTTCCTTACTATGGAACCATTGTATTTTCAGACATCTGGACTTTAAAATCTAGATGTTCTTGTTTTCTTCCTTTTCTTCTATACATTTAATAAGTTACCAAATCCTGTAAATTGTTCTTTGAAATGTCTCAACTCCATTCTTTCTAATAGCAATGAAAATACTAACCATATCGTTAACAACAACAGGCCAGGTACGATGGCTCATGCCTGTAATCCCAGCACTTTGGGAGGTTGAGACAGGAAGATCACTTGAGCCCAGGAGTTTGAGACCAGCCTGGGAAACATAGTGAGACCCCATCTCTTAAAAAAAATTTTTTTAATTAGCCAAGTGTGTTGGCATGCACCTATAGTCCTAGCTACTCCAGAGTCCTAGCTACTCCAGGCAAGAAAATCCCTTGAGCTCAGGAGTTCGAGGCTTCAGTAAGCTATGATGGTACCACTGCACTCCAGCCTGGGTGATAGAGTGATACCCTGTTTCTTAGAAAAAGAAAAATTATTAACAACAACAGGGACAGTGCCAGGGACTGTATACATTATTTCGTGTCCTTACCTTGGGTCTACAAGTATCATTATCACTCCTATTTCACAGTACAAAGTAAAAAGGTTCAGAACATGGACAAATTGCTCATAAAGGCAA